TGTGAAAGCTGGGCAATGAATAAGGAAGACTGAAGAAGAGTTGATGCTTTTGAGTTGTGGTGTTGGCAAAGAATACTGAGAGTGCCATGGACTGCCAGGAGAATGAACAAATCTGTCTTGGAAAAGTGCAACTGGAATGCTTCCTGGAAGTGAGAAGAGCCTGACTTCGACTAGCCTACTTTGGTCACGTTGTCAAAAGGGACCAGTCCCTGGAGGAGGATATCATGCTTGGTACAATGGAGGGTCAGCGAAAAGGGGGAAGGCCCTCAATGAGATGGATTGACACAGTAGCTGCAACAATGGTCTCAAGTATAGCAAGGATTGTGAGGCTGGCACAGGACCAGGCAGTGTTTTGATCTGTTGTACATAGGCTCGCTATGAGTCAGAGGTGACTTGACGGCATCTAACAACACCGCCACCCCCAGAATGGTTTCATATACATTATTTGCATAGTTTCCAGTCTGTCTTGGTGGGCCACAAGCACCTTATTTGCAAAGTCCCACCTAATCATTACAAAACTGCAAACAGCTGAAAGGTCCAGTTAAGTAATTCACTGTGTACCACACTTCTGTTCAGTTAACAGTCTGGGTACAAGCAGTCCAAGGCTAATGTAGACTTTAGGTGGCAGGGACTCAGATTTTCTTGTTTTATCAATCTGCCATCTTCAATACAGTTTTAATCTTAACAGTCTAAGATGACTGCTTCCACTCTTCCATTTATGTCCACTTGCTACAATGAAAAGGGGAGAAAGAAAGTATTTTAGTCCAGAACTCCAAAGTTAAACCTGTCATTTCTGCTCACATCCCATTGGCCAGAACTCAATCATATGGCTGTAATGTGTGTAATATATGCCCTGGGCAGCTTTGTGCTCAGCTGAACTTCTGTTACTAAAGGAAGAGATGTCATGAAGTGCTCAGATCAACTAAAAGCAAGGTTTTTAAAAGTAATCAAAATGATAACATTAGGAAATGGGAGGACACCGAATTGTGCACATAAGAGATTGACAACAGATGTTAATACCAACCAATGTGTCCACAATACTGCATTACCATTAACACCAAACACCAGGCTACAGATAAACACATAAACACCTGAGAAGATCAGATAGGGGTCAGTGAATAGGAGCATACTCTAGTCTAAGGATAGATTCAGTTGAGGCTAATCTTGCACAGACACCAGTAATACAAAATACCTGCAATCCTTACAGAAACAATAGAAGACAGACACAGAGTAATCCCTCACAGACACACAGACACCATGGGAGAGAGATCCAGTAGATCTGCTGTCCCAGGACCATAGTACTGGGGGACACCAGACTCAGTTGGCACAACAAAATACGTAAAAAGCCTTGTTCCACATCCTACATTGGTGAGTAGCGACTGGGGTCTTAAAAGCTTTCAAATGGCCATCTGAGCTGCAGCTAATGGTCTCCTAGCATCGGAAGCAAAGAACAGTGCAAAAAAGTGCATTTGGAAGCAATCAGCCCTCGGACATGATGGCCCTCAAGACCAGAAGAACTAGATGGTGCCCAGCTACCAATGCCAACCACTCAGGAGGGGATCAAATCTGGAGATGCTGGATAGAGTGGGAGGAAAATGTGGAACAAAATCCAAAAACTCAATAATGACCAGAATTACTGGTTGGATGGAGTCTGCTGAGACCCCCAATACTATAGCCCTGGAATACATTCTGCGCCTAGAATAAAACTCACTCCCAGGGGCTGGCTTTCAGCCCAACAGATGTACACACACACCACTCAACCCAGGATGAAGCACCCACATACTCTATGGAAATACATCCCTCGGAGCAATAGACCATGGGGGCACCAGAGGGGCAACATTTGCATGGAGGAAATGCAAGACAAACAGTAGTGCATAACTATGAGGGGCACAGGGGGAAGGTTACTGAGCAGGAAGGGGAGGAGACTGGGTTAGGGTTGGGCATGGTAAATGGGGAGTGAAACTAAATGTACACGTAACGTTGAATGTAAAACAAACTCTTAAAATAAAAAATTTAAAAAAAATTTTTGAGGGGAAAAAAAAAAGGGTGGGGGACCAGGTTTGCTGGTCCGATAGAGCCTGGTGGAACCACTGAGACT